TCCACGAAGAAATGACTGTTGGAGGCTCGGAAGATGTTATTCGTAATCAGCTCGTTAAACTGAATCTGAATATGTATATTAAAGTCAAAAATAAATTCCACTGTAAGTTTGCATTAGCTGAACCTTAGCACTAGTCGAATAGTGTGTGGTCTAACAAGATCTCGAACAACCAACGGGTAGTTTTCGAGGGAGGAGACCGGGAAGGGCTATAGTAGGTCTCGCGGCTACGCTTACCATAAAGAAGTAAAAAGTGCTACAGAAAAGCGTTCACGTTCAAGAACGCGAACGTGCTTTGGCGTTCATATATATATATATATTATGGCCCAACTTAGAATTCAGCCTGATTCAGAATTCGTCCGGACGAAATTGAAATTCTAATTTCGACTAAACGAAACTGGAATAACTTTTTTTCAATGAATGAAAAAAGGTAAAGAAAGACATAATTAAAGTACCAACAACTATTTTTTTATTTTACAAAACTTTTTAACAATTATTATATAAAGCCTAAATTAAGTTACTCCATATTTGAGCATGCACCTCTTTTTGAATGACATTTGGCAGAGCAGAACACATTTTCTTTTTTACATGGACAAGTTCTAGTTGCACATTTACCACGACAGTTACATGTGTGTCCAGTTATGGAACCGCGAGAATAAAGCTTTGACGCTTCAATAAGACTGATGGTTTTTAAATTATCAACATCCATTTGTTTCAATTCATGGGACAAGCGTCTTTCAAACTCACAAACTGTCCAACTTCAAATGCATTGTTCAGAACACCATATTAACATATTAATTTATATAAAAAACGATCATGTTTTTCAGTTTTTTCAATAATAAGACATGGTAAATATTTTTGGTTAGTGTTTGTTCGATCAACTGGGTGTATTGCAATTGCAACGCAAGCATTTAAATTAAAGTCATTTGCTATAACATTTAAACTATCTTGATGTAATTTCATTTTCTTATTAGCACTTGACAGGTAATGATTGGTACCAGTTTTGCGAATCGAATCATGTGTGGTTGATGTTGTTGCTACGGTTGATGATATATCAGTTGATTTTGACGGTGTATCAGGTGATGAATAAGACTCAACATTATCTGATATTTGTTTGAGAAGATTCACTATCTCAAAATCAGTATGTGCATCGAAATTATTTGAATTATCAAGTGTATTATCGATTAATTCATCCTTTGATTCACCCACTAGAGTAGGAAGATTTTCTTCATCTTCAATACCAGCTTGCTGAACTAATTTCCAATAATCCGAATCTGATCGTGGCGGTTGTCCAAACATACTTCATAAGGACTGGTTTTCGTGACTGCGGACTTTCTTATATTGATACCATAAACAACAGGTAATAACGCATCAGACCAACTGGATGAATTATTGCGTGTCATTACACCTAAGGAAATGATTGGTTTCGAAGCAACATAATGTTTAATTGGTTTTATTGTTTAACATGGAATACATTGTTTTAAAAAAATTTCAATACAAAATCGAGGAATCCATAAATATTGAGAAATTATTTCAGAATAGGTCGTTTCATGACCACCATATGAAACAGTAATATGTGCTTTAGATATTACATTGTAAATAGCTTCTTAAACACACACTGTTTTCTTTAATTTGACACAAAAACAATTCCACTACCAGCAATTTTAACTAAATTAAAGTTGCATTTTGTCCAGTAAACAAATTTTGATGAATATGGATTACATGGTGCTCCTTTTGGTAACAATAAACATTTCAGGATATCATTATATACTTGTTGTTTAAGGGTACCCCTTGTAATGGCCGCTTGCCGTTACATATTTTATTTTCTGTCGCTTGACAAGTTTCAGAAACTTCTTCTATGCGCTCTTTATATAGAGAGAATGAAATCAGTTAATAATTGATTTTTATTATTATTTTGTTTCATAGTGACGCGAAATGTGGAGACACATTATCTTTGTGTCGAGA